GAGGACAGAAATTATTAAATATTAAAGCATTAGACCTATCACTAAAATCTTCAGTCATCCAAAAGTTATACTTAAATCCGAACTGGTTCTCAAGCAAATTAGTAAGATTGTCTCACCCACTGTTCAAGAAAGGCCTCTTTCCCTTTATTCAGATTACAACCTCTCACTTTCAGTTATTTGAAAAGGAAATAATCTCCCAAATGTCACTATTTCTAAAACAAGCCATAGAAAGTTGGTTGCAATTTCAATTTAATCCTCCAGAAACGACAGAACAAATAATGCAACAAATATTGTGGTTAAATTCAAATATACTAATTGACAAAAAACCTTTATTTATTGACAGAATGTTTAAAAAAGGTATAATCTTCGTAAATGATATCATCGGTAGGACTGGTGGAGTTATGTCGCACATGCAGCTAATAAAAACATATGGAAATGTCTGCTCTACCCAAAATTACAACCAAATAATTGCAGCCTTACCGCAAAAGTGGAAGAGGAAAGTTGAAGGGGGAGAAAGTAAGGAACTTGTCTGTCGGCCTTGCATTAAAGAACATAATTGGTTAAGGAAAACTGTGATAAATAAAAAAGTATATCAGTTTCACTTAAGGACCAAAGGATTGACAGCAGTCCCATATAGATTGCAAAATAGTTGGGAAGAGATCTTTGACGTACCGATCCCATGGCATAGGGTTTATGAACTGACACGCAAAAACGACACCGGATTCAAAAATTAGAATCTTTCAATTTAAATTATTATATAAAATTCTTGCTACCAATAGAATGTTATTTATATGGGGGATACAATCTTCCCAGCTCTGCAGATTTTGCTGTGAAGAGATAGAATCATTAGATCATTTGTTTTGGTTCTGTCCATTTGTAGCTTGTTTTTGGACACAGGTCCAGGAATGGCTGAAGGATTGCAATGTTTACCTGGAACTGGCCTTGCAGATAGCATTACTGGGTGATCTGAAAAGTCATAGTCAATCAATCAATAATATAATAATACTTTTAGCAAAAATGTTTATTTTTAATTCACAATCTGTGGAGGCAATGAGAATAGAAAGGTTCAGAACTTTTGTAAAACATCACAGTATGGTTGAAATATATATGGCAAATAGAAATCCTATATGGATGGTGTTAAGAGATAGATGGGAGGTATTAAATAATTAAATTAAATTTTGGGAAAGAGCACAGTTAGAAAGATATGGCATTTAGAAGCAAACCGGATGGACATCATGAAAATGATCGGAGAGGTTGAGAGTAGAAGAAGTTCAGGAGCAAAAAAATAAATATGTATGTATATATATATATATATATATATATATATATATATATATATATGTATGTATGTATATATATATATATATATATATATATAGATATAGAATTATTGTAAAATTAACTCTGTCCGTAAGGTGTAGATAGTAAGTATAGACCGGAAGTAGAGGCCTGGGCGTTGTTGTTCACTAATTTACTCCAAGTAGGGAAAGGATGGTGGGGTTGAAAAGTAATAAAGGGGAATATATATATATATAAAAAATAAAAAAAACATGGGGGATTGGAAGTGATGCAGACAATTACATTGATAGAAGATACAATCTATCTGCAATATTAAGCTGATCCATCCCCCCGAAAAAAAATAAGAAAAAAAAGAAAAAAAAAATACATCAAAGCATCTGCATGGGTGACTATCATTATTTCCTTCTTTCAATCACAAATGAGTCATTCAAAAGAACATGCAACTAACAGAACTGTTTGTTGATCTTGGAAACACCGCTGAACACATCTCACTTCAATTCCAGATTCTGAATGCTGGATTGTGGAATTCAGTAGGAATTCTGAGGGGGTTATGTCCTGTTGGGTGAGACGTTGAGCTGTTGTCTGCACCATGACATAAACCCACAGTGTGTGTGTGTGTGTGTGTGTGTGTGTGTGTGTGTTTGTGTGTGTGTGTGGGGGAATGGCTCTGGAACAGAAAGCCTGGCGTTCCATCAAGAAAATGGAAACTCTGACCCTTTGACTCACTATTGACGTTTCATTCGCATGTCTGCAGCCAACACAAGCACCCGGCACGGCCCTGGTCATGCAGAACATTGCTGCAACGTTAGGGGAATGTTGGGGCAACGATAGGGGGATGTTGGGAAAAAGTTGTTTGTTTTCCACGACATCATAACAGCGCTGAGGGAATGTGGTGCTTTTCTAGGGCTTAATGCTCGCACCAGCTGTGCCCTGACCACAACCTGACAACAACATAACATAAGCACTAGGCCCCTTCAGGGCTGACACACACGAAACAACCTGACAACACAATCTCACAGCTGACACATAACATTCCCCAAACATTCCAACTATGCTTTGGCAACATTCTCAATTGTCTCAATAGGCAAACTAAAGGGAAGAGGACAGTTGCTTGTTGGCTGGGTTGACTCCCTTAATGCTTTAAATTAAACCCAACTGGGAACAGCATCTGTTTTCAAAAACGGACTTCAGTGATGATAGCAGATATCGGTACACAGATAGTTTTTAAACCAGTATTACTCCTACCATGGGTGGGTCCTGATTCAGCTGTCAAGAAAGGCTTGGAAGACACATACAGAGATAAAAGCTTCATAGTCATTTAATTAACATTTATCTTGTACTCCAGATGCAATCATATCATCATTTTGCTCGTCAAATTGATGTCCTCTTATAACTATAATTACAAAAACCTGTTCTTTGTTCAGTATGATAATTATGTTTCCATAAAGTTGGTGACTAGGAGAAGTAAACACAGTAGTTAAATTCTAATGAGAGATATTTTGGGCCTGTATCTGAGAAGTATGCTCATGTCCAACTGCCAATCAAACTATTAAAGCCTGATATCTCTCTGCTCATTAAATCTCTCTCCAGACATGTTAGAAATGGACACTTAGGTGAGCACTACTTATTTCTCTCCCTCTCCTGCGCTCTCTCTCTCTCTCTCTCTCTCTCTCTCTCTCTCTCTCTCTCTCTCTCTCTCTCTCTCTCTCTCTCTCTCCCTCCCTCTCTCTCTTTCTCTCACTCCCTCCATCTGTCTCCACAATGAAAACAGCCTCTTTCCCAGCAGTCTTTGCCAGAAAGGAGGGATGTTGGCAGACGAGTGTTACTGGAGACGTAGGGAGAAGATGCAGTTTGGCCCAGGTATGTTAGGGTCAGTAAGAACCAACCGTCTTCTGCATGTTTACACTGTTCCCTCACTGTAACAGACACCGTATTAGACTACTATCTAAATTAGTAACACTACCTGTACCATTAACTAACAAATACAATCCATCCAATGACACAATCCATTTTCCATGTCATATAATCATGCTCCTTAATGCCAGCACCTGGATGTGTATATAATGTATAGAACACCTAAAGCCCATATCCTGTTGCTGAGATGGCATCATTAAGCCGACAGTGATGTTGGATGGGACTGGATGGATCTGGTCTCCTGAATGTCCTCCATATGTCCTGTTGTCACCTTCCTCAGGTTCAGGAGGACAGAGAAGGACGGGCGGGGGGATTTTCGCAACAGGTGCAGGGCTCAGCCATGTCTCCCTGGCAACTAGTGTCACTTTCCAGGCTTATAGATGAGACCCACATACACACACCCAAACACAGATACATAGACGAGTGCACACACCCAACCCAACCCCACCCCCCACACACATACACACAGACACACACACACTTATCCCAGTATGGAAATCAGTGAGACAGAATTGAAACTGTTTAAAGGCCCTGTTTTTCACTGGTTTATCCTAGTAACAGGCACAACAGTGGCCTAGCCAAACCACTCCTCCCTCTCTCCTCCCATCCCCCCTCCCTGGAGTAGCCAAAGGAGAGGCAGATGTTTCCTCTCCCACCGTCCCTTCCATCACTGCAGCAACACAGGGCTTCCCTCGCATGCGCACACACACACACACACACACACACACTCACTCTCACACTCACAAACACATTCATACACACACACACTCATTCACGCACATGCATACACACCAATCACACAAATATATACACTGACACAAACAGGCACATACACACAAGAACCCATATATACATGCAAGCATTCACACACACACACACACTGGCCAGCCAGGGGTGAGAGATTTAGCACCTCTCTGGCAGCTTCTTGCCTTGGTCCAACCCCAGCTTCCTACTCTACAAAACACACACTGCGACGTCAGATTCCTCTGTGTTTTATATCTCTGTTTGATCGATTTCAGAAACATATAGAACAGGACTACAGTCTAAACATTCAGAACACACACACATACACACATACACACACACACACACACACACACAGATAGAGCATGGTTGCTCTCACACTCCTTAAAAGGCATTCTACTGGGCTGGGGCCATCATAAAGCTCTCCAGCACTCTCCAGCACTTACTAAATAACACAACACCATTGAGATATGCAGACACTGGTACCGATACAGTACAGGAATCAACCAGTGTGTGTGCGAGCATGCGTGTGTCATAAGGGCGTGTGTGTATTAATTGGTGTTGGATCACCTTGTGGTGCAGTGGGACTCATGATGATCATCTTTCATGTGTCAGTGTGTGTTGGAACAGGACATGCAGTCATCAGTGTGTCCAGGATGTTTCTATATTATAAGACATAGCCCCAGGCACCAAACTGCTCTCGTTCATCAGGTGATGAGGATAACCCTGTCTACGTTAAACTGGAGGAGGAGGGAGATGGTACGGTGGTTAGTTACCTGTGCAACCGAAGTAGGTATGTGTACAACGTTTCCCCTTTGACTTTCTATATTTAGTTCATGGACAGGATGAGGCCTTGAAAATAAATTGTCTTGTTATTCAAATTACTCTGCTAATCCCCTGACTTCTCCCTCTTTTGTGTGCGTGCGCGTATGTGTGTGTGTGTGAGTGTGTATATACTGTACATATGTGTGTGTGAGATCAGCTCCAGGACTAGAGGGCCATCAATGATGTGATGTCACGTCAACCACACACGTGATCTAGGGTTAGCGATAGCGGCCGCGACCCCCTGAGAGATGGGCTTGGGGAGTGAGCTCATTTCCTCCATAGCTGCCCGCATTAACAGGACCGACACTGAGTCCACCAACCCTCACAGGAAAAGAGAGGGTCAGAGGCCAGGGTTACACACACACACACACACACACACACACACACACAATGTTAATGTACATTACTGACCCCCTGATCACACTATCTCAGTCACCACTGCTCTGCTCTGGGACAGCCTTATGTCTCAGTGTGTGGGCCTTTGGGCTGTATTTAAATCAAATCAAATCAAATTTTATTGGTCATATACACATATTTAGCAGATGTTATTGCAGGTGTAGCGAGTGGCTACAGATGCTCTGTCTGTCTGTGTGTGTGTGTGTGTGTGTGTGTGTGTGTGTGTGTGTGTGTGTGTGTGTGTGTGTGTGTGTGTGTGTGTGTGTGTGTGTGTGTGTGTGTGTGTGTGTGTGAGAGAGAGAGAGAGAGCTTATTACGTTATTCATAGAGGGGGATTCTCCACTCTGAGGCGTCCAACCTCTCCAGAGAATGGACCAGGGCAGGTATTTGTGGATTGGTCGCAAGAGTTGGAGAGATAGGGATGAAAGAGAGAGAGAGAGAGAGAGGGAGAGAGACAGAGAGAGAGAGAGAGAGAGAGAGAGAGAGAGAGAGAGAGAGAGAGAGAGAGAGAGAGAGAGAGAGAGAGAGAGAGAGAGAGAGAGAGAGATAGATAGACGGAGGTGGGGGGATAGATGAGGCTAAGGTGAAGAGGTGTTGAAAAATGGAAAAGTAATGTGGAGCAATTCCCCCAGCAGCCGTCCACAAACAGGGTGTAGGGATATTGGTGTGTGTGTGTGTCCTACCTGTCTAGGGCAGTGCTGGTAGCCATACTCCTAGCGAAGCCCCTTAGTCCCAGCTGTCTGAAGTAAGGGATACAGGAGAGGTTGGCCGCCATGACAGCCAAGGAGTCTGAAGGGTTCACAAAGAAACCATTCTCACCCAGGATCATATACCGGTCCTGCAATACATACACTCATCAACCATACAGCAATCCATAAAGAAATAATCAATACATAACCAATAAATACCTAATCAAATCCTCCAATAATTAAAGTATGTTGAACATAAATATTTGCTGTTACTCTAACTTTCACTCCCATCCCTACCAGTTGATATACGGTTGTTTTAATTGCATCTCTCCCAATCAAATAAAATGTATGGGACACACTCCTTCCTACTAAAATGCAGCACTGTAAGCACTGGGAGAGGGCTACAATGGAATACAATAGAGTGACATAATGCTCCTGATGCTAGGCTAGGTAATTGAGTTAGGCTAATGTGCGTGAGTGTGACGCTGGTAGAAATTAAAAATTAATGTGAGATGTTGTGGAAAAAATTAGATGTTTGTTATGTCACAGATATTAGCTGGTCCCATTGCCTGACATCCTGCTATTGACCAGCAAATAAATGCCGACAAAAACAAACAAAGGCAATTCCAAGTTCCCATTAGATAGCAGACCTGGGTCGACATAGGTCAAGTGCTTGATTTCTTTTAAATACTTTACATGTGCTTGATTTGGCTTGCTGCCATGGAACCAATGGAATAGTCCCAAAAGTGTAAACCCTGCCCATTTCAGCAGAATCAAACATCCTTATCAAACGTCCTTATCACCTCCCCTGAAAGTGTATTGTAGTACTTTGTATATTATACAGTGCCTTCAGAAAGTATTCACACCCCTTGACTTATTCCATATTTTGTTGTGTTTTTTCTCTCACCCATCTACAAACAATACCCCATAATGACAAAGTGAAAACATGTTTTTAGAATTTTTTGCAAATGTATTGAAAATGAAATACAGAAATATCTCATTTACATAAATATGCACACCCCTGAGTCAATACTTTGTAGAAGCACCTATGGCAGCAATTACAGCTGTGAGTCTTTTTTGGGTAAGTCTCTAAGAGCTTTCCACAGCATTATTATTTTCAAAATTATTCAAGCTCTGTCAAATTGGTTGTTGATCAGTGCTAGTCAACCATTTTCAGGTCTTGCCATAGATTTTCAAGTAGATTTAAGTCAAAACTGTAACTCGGCCACTCAGCAACTCCAGTGTAGATTTGGCCTTGTGTTTTAGGTAATTGTCCTGCTGAAAGGTGAATTAATCTCCCAGTATCTGGTGGAAAGCAGACAGAACCAGGTTTTCCTCTAGGATTTTGCCTGTGCTTAGCTCCATTCCGTTTCTTTTTTTATCCTGAAAAACTCCCCAGTCCTTAACAATTACAAGCATACCCATAACATGATGCAGCCACCACTATGCTTGAAAATATGAAGAGTGGTACTCAGTAATCTGTTGTATTGGATTTGTATTCAGGACAAAAAGTTAATTATTTTGACAAATGTTTTGCAGTATTACTTTAGTGCCTTGTTGCAAACAGGATGCATGTTTAGGAATATTTGTATTCTGTACAGGGTTCCTTCTTTTCACTCTATCAATTAGGTTAGTATTGTGGAGTAACTACAATATTGTTGATCCATCCTCAGTTTTCTCCTATCACAGCCATTAAACTCTGTAACTGTTTTAAAGTCACCATTGGCCTCATGGTGAAATCTCTGAGCGGTTTCCTTCCTCTCCGTCAACTGAGTTAGGAAGGATGCTTGTATCTTTGACGTGACTGAGTTTATTGATACACTATCCAAAGTGTAATTAATAGCTTCATCATGCTCAAAGGGATATTCAATGTCTGCTTTATTTATTTTTTACCCATCTACCAATAGGTGCCCTTCTTTGCGAGGCATTGGAAAACATCCCTGGTCTTTGTGGTTGAATCTGTGTTTAAAATTCACTGCTCGACTGAGGGACCTTGCAGATAATTGTATGTGTGGGGTACAGAGATGAGGTAGTCATTCAAAAATCATGTTAAACACAATTTTGCACACAGAGTGAGTCCATGCAATTTTTACTCCAGAACTTATTTAGGGTTGCCATAACAAAGGGGTTGAGAACTTATTGACTCAAGACATTTCAGCTTTTTATTAATGAATTTGTAAAAATGTCAAAAAATATAATTCCACTTTGACATTATGCCGTATTGTGTGTAGGCCGGTGAAGAAAAATCTATATTTAATTCATTTTTAATTCAGTCTATAACACAGTGGTATTCAAAGTCGGGGTCTGCAGTGGGGTCGCCAAAATTAAAATTAAAATTAAGATTACAGATTATTGTATGGGACAATATACAAACATTTTTGAGGAAGATAATTTGAAAGATACAATTTAATTGAGTTAATGTATTTATTGGTTTCTTTTCATTTTGATAAGAGATAAAAATGCAATGAATTGAAGGTTATTTGTTGATGTAAAAATCTAAATGTACTGATTTTAAGGTTGTGTCATTAGATTTGGGGTGGGGTGGAGTCGCAATAAATTATTGGGGGGAAGAATGGGGTACCCAGAACTTCTGGCGAAAGAAATGGGGTCCCCACTGAAAAAGTTTGAACACCACTGCTGTAACACAACAAAATGTGGGAAAAGTCAAGGGGTGTGAGTACTTTGTGAAGGCAGTGTTCCTCTCCTCCTCAGCTGTCTTACCCCGTCTGCATCGAACGCAGCTCCGAAACCAAAGTCTCCGCCCTTCATAGCATCAACCAATGGGGCTGCGTATGTGAGGTTGGGCTCTGGAGGCCGGCCCCCAAAGTCCTCCATTGGGACACAGTTGACAGCAGCGTTGGCAGGAGCCCCCAACTCATCACACAGGATACGGCGCACGTACAGACCCATCACTGACAATAGAGTAGAATAGAATAGAAAATAATACTATGGAATAGAATACAATACAATATAATCACTGGTAAGCACCTGATACAATACTGTAACTACTTTGGTCTTTGTGAGTATTGTCCTACCTCCGTTCATGGCGTCTATCCGTATCTTCAGCTGTTCAGGTCCTGTCAGAAGGCTCTTGATGGCGCTGAAGTCAAAGATGGTTCTCAGCAGGTTGAGGTACAACTCCACTGAGTCCACTATCTCAACTAACAACACACAGAAGAGGAGGGCAGTAGCTCAGAGTCTAGTGTGTATCTGCATGTGTCCATCCATCCAATAGCATGTATGCTACTTGTATGCAAGAACAGAGTGTATGTGTGGTGAGACTGTGTTTGCCTGGCGTGTGAGTGTGTGAATGTATATGTGTTTGCAGTGTGTGTGTTTCTACTCTGTGTATGCTGCTCTGTGCAGGGGCATAGGAGCCCCCCAATGTTAGTAGCCGGTAAAATGCAACCCCCCCCCCAATGGGTGCAATTTCAAAATGTGGTTGTGCATCAGCAGTTTTTCTCTTGTTATGTCAGTCACTGACAGTCACTCAATTAGCCCATGTCAGCTAACATTTTTTTTTATATGTCTAGCCAGCTATCTAAACTTGTAGTAATCATGGTCGAATTACCGACCAGGGGGCCCCCATTGATTTTGTTAGTCACTCTCACTCAGATATCATATTAAAAACTGCAAACATTTCTCTCCAGGAAATTGCAAGACATTTGTCTCTACACCCCATGGCAAAATGAGTAGAATTCCATGAAATGAGTTATAAAATTGCAAAAGCTTCTCTCTAGAGTAGAGATTAATTAATTTCAGTTTGACCGTTCATGCCTACCTTTTTATTTATTAAAACAGCTTTTAACACTGTATATTGCTGGTTAATATCACAGTATAAGAACTGTATTATAAGTTGAAAATATTATGTTAAGTTTTAAACCATACAGTATGTAGAGCAGAAGTAGTAACAAACTGACATAGGGGAAGTGAGACAAATACTGGGAAATGAATCATACAGTAGCAGAGAAAGAGTACAAAATGGTTGTGTAATTGAATATATGCACATAAACAGTCACACTGGTATTCAGTACAGTATGAATGGCCATGGCCCTCAGACTGATTGGACTGTACCAGAGTAAGTACCCCTCTACAAGGGCCCCCTTAGCCTTGTACATTTTACCATTTGTAAGTTAATATTTTTCTTTATCCTTTTTTCAAAAGTCACTAGAAATTAGCATTTAAAACCTGTTTTTTCAACAACAACAAAAACCCAGGTAGCAAAATGGTTTCCCCCAATGTCAGAGTCTCTTCTACGCCCCTGGCTCTGTGTGTGTCTGCTCTGTGTGTGTCTGTGTAGGCCCCGTGTAGCTCAGTTGGTAGAGCATGCCGTTTGCAACGCCAGGGTTGTGGGTTCGTTTCCCACGGGGGGCCAGTATGAAAAATGTATGCACTCACTAACTGATAGTCGCTCAGGATAAGAGCGTCTGCTAAATGACTAAAATGTAAATGTCTGGTCTGTGTGTGTCCAGTACCTCTGAAGGGTTTGAACTTGTTCTCCAGGTCAAAGTCGTGGCGTCCCAGCCTGGCAAGGTCAATGCGGAGGTCAGGACAGATGGCATACTCCTCCAGGGTCCTACTCACCTGGGCAATCTTATCTATCACCGTGTCCGGGGACGGGCCTATGGGGGGGAGAGGACACGGTTACCATGGAACCCAATGTTTTCACATTATGTGACCTGTTCCTGGTCTATGATTGTTGTTATACATGTTTAAGAACAGTGAAGCCTATGGTGGCATTTTAATGCACCACTGTTATTCATAGGAAGTTAAATAACATATTACTGAGAAGTGATCATCTTCTATGTAGCATGTGAGGATTGTAAGAAGCTACTGGGGTCATGTGAACATTGACAAAGGGAACATTGTGTAGAATCCTTTTGAGAGCCATAGTCTGTGGGCTCTGAGAGAAAGCTACTGTAGTGTGAGACATGAGGGATGAGGAGAGCACTTTGCTCTATTTATACGACTGGAAGATGACTGAGATTCCATTGCAAAGCCTGGGGACTCAGAAGGCCTGTCCATGATGGAACTTCAGGAATATGTGAGTATTCCTTGTTTAGAGAATACATGGATAGCTGCAGGGGCTATGAGTGGGCTATGGTGCTAACTCTCTTAACTCAGTCAATAAATCACCAATATTGTATTCATATAGCACTTTTAAAAAACACATTTATCACAAAGTGCCCACTAACAACCTGGGCATAAAGCCAAGAAGAGCAAGCACAAGTATCAGTGGCGAAAAGAAAACTCCTTAGGTAGGAGGACATCCATCCTTTAACTGACTGACAGATTGACTGGCTGGCAGATTGACAGCAATCAGTCAAATAAGCACCTCACCTCCATTGGCCACGTTGAATTTGACCCCAAAGTCTCCCCCGGGGCCTCCTGGATTGTGACTGGCTGTCAGGATGATTCCACCAATGGCCTTGATCTTCCTGATGATGCAGGACACAGCAGGGGTGGAGAGGAGGCCGTTGTGTCCAATCACCAGCCGACCGATCTGAAAGAAACACAGACAAAGGGAGAGTTGAAGGAACTTTAGCTGACTGAATCTCATTCTGGGACCTATGTTCATGTATAAGTAATTCATTGTATCATACATTATTCAAGACTAAGGCATGTACAAACATCGCAACTCAAGAATGAAAAGGCCTATTATTGTAGACTAGCTCAGTGTAGCTTCAGCCTACAGAATGATTAAATTCACATAACTTTATTGTAATGAGCTTCATGTCATGCCTTTTGTCAAGAGATGTTTTCTAGAACTGGTCATGTGGCTTCTGTCATGACACTCAGGGCTTCATCTTTCCAGACCAGATGCGTCCAGAATTTGGCACCGACTGAGGTTCCAGACGTTCTATCAGGCTTGGACTAGGCTACATTCCAGACAGTCATCATGGGCGTCTACATCCATTTATTGAAGTGACGCGAATAGTCTCGCATGTTCTGGCCATAGGCTATAGCATCTCAACTATTCTAAATAAAAGTGTCCTCATTCATGAGGAATTCATTCTTATGACGTCGGCGCATCTCCTCACTTCAGGATTCAGAGAGAGAGAGAGTATTTTCTTCAGATTACAGAGATCCACAAAGAATTCGAAAACAATCCCAATTTTGATAAACTCCCATACAGTGGGGGAAAAAAGTATTTAGTCAGCCACCAATTGTGCAAGTTCTCCCACTTAAAAAGATGAGAGAGGCCTGTAATTTTCATCATAGGTACACGTCAACTATGACAGACAAATTGAGAAAAAGAAATCCATAAAATCACATTGTAGGATTTTTAATGAATTTATTTGCAAATTATGGTGGAAAATAAGTATTTGGTCACCTACAAACAAGCAAGATTTCTGGCTCTCACAGACCTGTAACTTCTTCTTTAAGAGGCTCCTCTGTCCTCCACTCATTACCTGTATTAATGGCACCTGTTTGAACTTGTTATCAGTATAAAAGACACCTGTCCACAACCTCAAACAGTCACACTCCAAACTCCACTATGGCCAAGACCAAAGAGCTGTCAAAGGACACCAGAAACAAAATTGTAGACCTGCACCAGGCTGGGAAGACTGAATCTGCAATAGGTAAGCAGCTTGGTTTGAAGAAATCAACTGTGGGAGCAATTATTAGGAAATGGAAGACATACAAGACCACTGATAATCTCCATAGATCTGGGGCTTCACGCAAGATCTCACCCCGTGGGGTCAAAATGATCACAAGAACGGTGAGCAAAAATCCCAGAACCACACGGGGGGACCTAGTGAATGACCTGCAGAGAGCTGGGACCAAAGTAACAAAGCCTACCATCAGTAACACACTACACCGCCAGGGACTCAACTCCTGCAGTGCCAGACGTGTCCCCCTGCTTAAGCCAGTACATGTCCAGGCCCGTCTGAAGTTTGCTAGAGTGCATTTGGATGATCCAGAAGAAGATTGGGAGAATGTCATATGGTCAGATGAAACCAAAATAGAACTTTTTGGTAAAAACTCAACTCGTCGTGTTTGGAGGACAAAGAATGCTGAGTTGCATCCAAAGAACACCATACCTACTGTGAAGCATGGGGGTGGAAACATCATGCTTTGGGGCTGTTTTTCTGCAAAGGGACCAGGACGACTGATCCGTGTAAAGGAAAGAATGAATGGGGCCATGTATCGTGAGACTTTGAGTGAAAACCTCCTTCCATCAGCAAGGGCATTGAAGATGAAACGTGGCTGGGTCTTTCAGCATGACAATGATCCCAAACACACCACCCGGGCAACGAAGGAGTGGCTTCGTAAGAAGCATTTCAAGGTCCTGGAGTGGCGTAGCCAGTCTCCAGATCTCAACCCCATAGAAAATCTTTGGAGGGAGTTGAAAGTCCGTGTTGCCCAGCGACAGCCCCAAAACATCACTGCTCTAGAGGAGATCTGCATGGAGGAATGGGCCAAAATACCAGCAACAGTGTGTGAAAACCTTGTGAAGACTTACAGAAAACGTTTGACCTGTGTCATTGCCAACAAAGGGTATATAACAAAGTATTGAGAAACTTTTGTTATTGACCAAATACTTATTTTCCACCATAATTTGCAAATAAATTCATAAAAAATCCTACAATGTGATTTTCTGGATTTTTTTTTCTCATTTTGTCTGTCAGAGTTGACGTGTACCTATGATGAGAATTACAGGCCTCTCTCATCTTTTTAAGTGGGAGAACTTGCACAATTGGTGGCTGACCTAATACTTTTTTCCCCCACTGTATCTACTGGGTGAAATACCACAGTGTGCCATCACAGCAGCAATATTTGTGACCTGTTGCCACAAGAAAAGGGCAACCAGTGAAGAACAAACACCATTGTAAATACAACCCATATTTATGTTTATTTATTTTCCCATTTGTACTTTAACTGCCTGAGCGGAAAGTACTGTTGGCCTACCTTGGCTAAGGACGTGAGGGTGTACGTCTCCTCCTGCTCGGTGTGCGCCCAGAGTAAGGCACCTAGGCACCTCCCAGCGGGTAAGCTACAACCGTTACCAGTTCCACAACGACAATGGTCTCACCTTAGCATTGATTTTCTGACTGATCTTACCCTCTCCCAAGGTAACACCACCATCCTGGTCGTTGTGGACCGCTTCTCAAAGTCCTGCCACCTCCTTCATCTGCCCGGTCTCCCCACGGCCCTGCAGACTGCGGAGGCCCTGTTTACTCACGTCTTCCGGCACTACGGGGTACCAGAGGATATAGTGTCTGACCGAGGTCCCCAGTTCACGTCCAAGGTCTGGAAGGCGTTCATGTAACGTCTGGGGGTCTCGGTCAGCCTGACCTCTGGGTTCCACCACGAGAGTAATGGGCAGGTGGAAAGGGTAAATCAGGACGTGGGTAGGTTCCTGCGGTCCTACTGCCAGGACCGGCCGGGGGAGTAGTCAGTGTTCTTGCCATGGGCAGAATATGCCCGGAACTCTCTCCGCCACTCCTCCACTAACCTAACGCCTTTCCAGTGTGTTCTAGGTTACCAACCGGTTCTGGCACCGTGGCACTAGAGCCAGACCGAGGCTCCTGCGGTGGATGACTGCTTTCGGCGCGCGGAGGAGACGTGGGATGCTGCCCACATTCACCTCCAACGCGCTGTGCGTCGTCAGAAGGCCAACGCTGACCGCCACCGCAGTGAGGCCCTGGTCTTCATACCGGGGGATCAGGTCTGGCTCTCGACCTGGAATCTGCCCCTCCGCCTGCCCTGCCGGAAGCTGAGCCCGCGGTTTGTGGGGCCGTTCAAAGTCCTGAGGAGAGGTCGCATATAGGTTATTACTTCCCCCTGATTACCGTATTAACCCCTCGTTTCATGTGTCTCTCCTCAGGCCAGTGCTAGCCGGTCCGCTCCAAGAGTCTGAGGTGCGGGAGGTCCCTCCACCTCCTCTGGACATCGAGGGGGCTCCAGCGTACTCGGTTCATTCCATCCTGGATTCGAGGTGTTGGGTGGGGGGCCTTCAGTACCTCGTGGAGTGGGAGGGTACGGTCCGGAGGAACGGTGCTGGGTCCCGGTGAGGGATATCCTCGATCCCTCCATGTTATGGGATTTCCACCGTCGCCATTCGGCTCGCCCTGCTCCGCGTCCTCCTGGCCGTCCCCGGGGCCAGGGTCGGCGCGCGGGGTACTGTCACGACGGGACTTCCGCTGAGGCTGCCTCCCCTCCTTGTTCGGGCAGGTTTCGCCGTTCGTCGTCACCGGCTTACTAGCTGCTGCCGATCCATTTATCATCACTCCACTTGTCTTGTCTAATTAATCACACACACCTGGTCCTTATCCCCAATTAGTCATTGTATAAGTGTTCCCTCTGCTTCCTTGTCTGTGTGGGTGATTGTTTGTAGTGAGCTGTGTGTAGCTCGGTTGAGCTACCCTTACCTTGTTGTTGCCAGGGTAGATATTTCCTCTGTGCCTGAGTTTTGTTGTCGCATGCTTGCGCAACTGTTTATCGAAGGAATAAACTCTTTGGATGCGTATTACTCTCCTGCTCCTGACTCCTTCTATCACACGCATCACAGAGAGACTTTTGGCTCTATTCAATCAAACTCGGTTAACTTGTTTTTGGGATAAGAGCAAAAACATTTGTATGGTTTGAAAACAAAAGAAAATCAGCTGTGTTAATGACAACCTTCTCTCCCCATAATATATATATTTAAACCTATCCCAGACATCGCTTTGGATCGAATAGTGCCCTTTGGGTGCGTACTTCACACCTGCCATGCCCTGTCAGCGACCCGTTGTAGGTCTACACGCCAATCATCATTCCATACTCTGCCCCCAGCATTTCACAAAAATTATTTCAATGTCGTCCCAGCACTTATCTCCTGTGAGTTTGGCTCGTGGCCACTAAACTGGGTATCCCCCAAGCCTCGAACGAGGGGGAGGAATGGAGCTGAGTTGCGCGTGGGCAGGAAAGGAATGGATGAGGGATGGAACAGCCGATAAGGCAGGCAGGAGACATTTGGCTGGGCCAGCAGAAAAATAGACCCATCTCAAAACAAATACATTCCCCTCAGATATTCCTTTGGGCATTTCATCAAGCTTGGTGTCGCATAGATCTGAGAATAGGCTGCTGTCCTTTCCAAGCGCTCTGCGCAATTGGTTAAAAGGCTCCGCCACTCACGCAGGCCCGCGCTCGCACGCACACACATACACACACACAAACACACTGACACTGGGAGAGGGTATAAGCTTAGGTTATAATATAGCCTGCCTATCTATATGCACGTATGCCTATCACCATAAATCTGAGTGTTGTTCAAACAAGGCCACTGGATTAACTAAACGTTTCAGAGGCGCATAAACAGAGCAGTCTGTGATAGATAAACTAGTGTACAACATTCCCTTTTATGCACTTGACTAGAGTTGCAGCTGTATAAACCATAGTTTATACGACCCACAGGCATATGGAGGATTAAAAATAAAATACAATGGTTTATCATGCTATTTCTGTGCTTAATTTATTATCATTATCCTTATCATTATCATCACGAACCCTGAACCATTCCAAACTTTCTGACACGACATTCTTGTCTTACCCCGTTGGCAGCGGCCATCTGAACTATAATTTCGGTGGCGGCTCGGCTGAAGTAGCGTCCGTCGCTACCCACCACCATGGTGCATCCTTGGCGGTCCCTCAGGTCGATGGACGACAGTACACTCTGGATGTAGTTCTGCAGGTAGTTCTTCTTGCCCTCGAACACCGCCGTCTTCCGCCGCAACCCGTTGGTACCGGGCCGCTGGTCATCAAATGGGCTCGTCTGGACCGTTACCACGGGAATGGGGTTCGTCTCCATCCTCCGCACAAGAACCCAGCGGGAGTGACGCGTCGACTGGCTACACCGGGGATGACTCTGTCTGTCACAGAAATTTGCGCTGTCAGAAGCCTAACTGTCGGCTGGAGAAAGGTGGAGAGCCACACATATGCTGTAGGAGACGGACTGTGTTAGGGAGGTGAGAGGTCCAGTGATGTCCGCTCTAGTCCTCCAGAAGTAGCACTTTCGAGGTGGGTGGGGGTGAGGGATGCGTTTACGCAATGACAGCACACCAGCGCTTTCCAGAGGGATGGCTATTAAGATGATAAGTTCCATCAACAAATTCCTTGGCTTGTAAGGTCGGTTTGAGATATATGCTAGTTATAGGCCTACTGTAGGTTTTAAACACATGCCACAGTAAACTTGCAGTGAGAGCTTTGGATGTTAAAGTAGGCTAATGTAATGTTAAGCCAAGTCTTCTCTTCCGCCTGACAACTCCCTATTTTCCAAATAAGCCTGACTCTCCACAAGGACACGCGCCTGCCAAAATCAGGCAGGGCCAAAAGCCCCTACAATCAGCTGCGCCTCTGGACAAAAATAGCCCGGTGGAGTGCGGGGAGAATAGTTTCGGGCTGGGGCTGTAACCGGACAAGGCAAATCACAGTCAGAAAAGTGACGAGGCAGGACCTGAGGGCGCACTGTTGGCCATGGGCAAGGCAATGCGTCAAGAAGACCTCCACGCTGTCCCATATATTAGGCAATATAGTTAAAGGTAAAGTAAAACACACTAGTTGGTTTTAATATGATACTTTAAGCTAATGGACTAGAATGATAACATAAAATCCACTCCCTTTCCAAAATAATTAAACTGTGACAAAAATGGAGTGCATCTTATTCAATGGCACGTCTCTCTGTCTCTCTCGCTCTCTTTGTACTATATGCATAAAAGCAAACATCAAAAGACCAAGATGCGTCATGGGTGGCCAGAGAGAGAGAGAGAGCGAGAGGCATATGTGCTGCTTCACTGATGCAAAACTTAGTGGACAGCATAACCATGAGCAAAATCAAGGAAATACACTTTTGAAAAACGTACATTGCTAAATTTAAAAAGGCTTATTGGTCCTATAAAAGTAGTTGTCTGTATTGAAATGCATTAAACATGGGCCACACGGTGGCAGCATTGAACTGGCCTACAGCTGGATGCAGACGTTCTCAAGTTTTCATTCTATTTTCAAGGAAATTAAGATGAAATCAAATGTATTTTAATGGTTATTTAATATGTATTTAATTGCAATAAAACAAAACAGGGCACGAAATTCGCACTGATTAGACTGATCTGTTTTAGTGACAAACAAGAGTTATGTTTCGCCAATTACAGGACAAACAAAATTGATGAAAATAAATATAGCCTACGCTTACAACAATTCATAATAACAAGATTGTAAGTAGATCATATACTGTAATTTGCTGTTCAGAGGCCTATTTAGCCTTTTTGCGAAGTAAGTCTGTGCAATATATTATAGGCCTGCTAATTTAGGCCTGGTTTTCCAGAAACTGAAATTGGAAACCTTTAAGTGCAATCATTTCCTCAGGTTATTTTGTACTAATAGATTACATCTTTAGCAGTACATTTCTAGGTGTAAAGAAATGTGGGGAAGGAAATAAATTGGCCTAGGCATAATCAAACACTGCAAAAAAACAACTGATGGTATGGTCAAACTATTTTTATTGTTTCATTTCAATGTTGGAAAAAATAATCTAAAAATCATAATACAATGCATTTTTAAACAATTGGCAAAAGTGTTTCCACTTTCACATTGACACCATATTTTAACAAATATATTATCAGTCTTCTTATTTACATTAACTTCATTTGACATATTCAACATTGAATGAACATAAATAACATGCAGTTTAAATCATTTATTTGAGAAATGCGCAAACGTGCCTCCATTGTATCATTTTATCACTTGTATAAAAAAAGAGGTTTCTTTGGCTAATGCTATAACAAACAAACACTTCAACAACTAAGGTAACACATTGGGACATTCTCTGTTATTGAAGGAGCAGCGCTCAACATTGCACTTGGGCAGAATGGAGTTATTGAAGCTTGAATCAGGCTCGGAACCAAACAAGCAGTGCCCGTGAGAAGATCAACAGAACAATGTGGGTTGGAGTTCCGTGGATTTGAGTTCTGTGATACATAAGGAGAGGTTCTACTCATAATGCTGTCAATACTGAATGAACACTTCATATGTGTGTCGCTCGCAGGCTTCTGTTCTGCGGGTGTTACTGCATAAAGTTTCATTCTGAAGTTTTTGGGAGCAACTACCTTACAGATGCTGCTTAGACTCGGGTATGGTAAGTAGAAGGAAGTTGACATCACGAGCCCGTCCGGAACGGGCATATACCTGAGAGGGGCAGCCGGTACGCTCGTTTGGCTTTGGACGCAGTAAGGTCGCTCGTAAGGCCGGTAACAGCTGAAGTTTGGGTAAAACATGAGTCCATCTTTCAGATACTCCTGCTGGTTTCTCTTAAACCTCTTCCTGCGCCGGAGAAAGCTGCCGTTGTCAAACATGTCCTCAGATGCGGGGTCCAGAGACCAGTAGTTGCCTTTGCCTGGGTTTCCAGGCTCTCTCGGAATCTTGATAAAGCAGTCGTTGAGTGACAGGTTGTGCCTGATAGAATTCTGCCACGCCGGAAACTTCTCCCGGTAGTAGGGGAACTTGTTGCTGATGAAGTCACAAATGCCACTCAGCGTCAGTTTTTTCAGAGGACACTGTAAGATTGCCATGGTGATGAGAGCGATGTAGGAATACGGGGGCTTTACAGAACCGTGAGGTCTTCCCAATGAAGGTGTGTCTGCACAGAAACTATTCTCGCTCACCCCAGACGAGTCGAACTCCGAGCAGTCCAGTTCAGCGCTGGAATCGGCGGAGGAGCTAGGCTCCGTGGTGCTGTCGGTCCGGTAGAGAAGATGCTGGTCATGGAGAGGCTTGTCCTCTCCCACTATGTCTACTTCATCCTCGTCCAGTGGCAAGCCAATCTGCTGGGACGCTTCATACTCTTTGGAGAGGGTCATGGCTCAGACCACAACGTCAAGCGTAAATGCGCAATTACCGACGCATAAAAGCGCACAAATATATATGTATTCTCTGACTTTCTCGGTTCCTCCTGTCCCTGTGGTCCTGTTCAGCCTGTTTGTGTTGACCCCCCCCCCCACACACACACACACACAGCCCAGTCACACCCAGACCTATCAGAGTAGCCCCTCGCCGCGGGGTGTCTGGGCAGACAAGGCGAAGCTAATGCGGAGGAGAATCCTTACATGCTAATTGAACTAGTATGCAGACACCTCAAAGTTCATGAAGCTTCTAAATTAAGACTGTTGAGTAAAAAACACTTGTAGGCCTATATATAGTTTGCAAAAAGTATTTATTACAAAGCGAGCGCACAATTGGCCCAGCGTCGTCTGCATACTAACTGTAAGTCGCTCTGGATAAGAGCGTCTGCTAAATGACTAAAATGTAAATGTAAATGTCGTCCAGGGTAGGGGAGGGAATGGCCGGCAGGGAGGTAGCTCAGTTGGTGTTTGCAACGCCAGGGTTGTGGGTTCGTTTCCCACGGGGGGCCAGTATGAAAAAAAAAAAAAAGAATAATGTATGCACTAACTGTAAGTCGCTCTGGATAAGAGCGTCTGCTAAATGACGTAAAAATGTAAATGTAAAAAAATATTAAAAGCTACGCAGGTCCTCCGCCCCGCAGAGAAAAGAGTAGCACAGTAGCTCGGCTGGAGCCGGGGATGCGATGTGAAGTTTGAACACCACGCCTACCCCTGATAATAAACGCAGCGTTTTACCCCCCAGACCCCCGTGGTTTCGTTTAGTGTGCCACCTCGGGATGCCCGCAGGTGGTGTGACCGTGAAAATGGCCGTGGGACGGCTCCCCGTGGCCGGGAGAGAAAAGCGTCTATAGAGGCAACTTAACGAGCCAATAAGCATCAGAATCCGGTTGAACACGGCGCAGCTGCATGGTGAGCTATAGGGCTACAGGACATAGCCGGGGTTTATGTTCGGAGTGAATGGCCACAGCAAATTAAACGCACATGTAGATCTAGGGCAGACAATGACGTTAATATATTGGGTAACATTTTGATAGAAAATTACATTTAAAATCTAAAGTATAACTGAGTTTATATATTGGGTAACATTTTGAACGTAGAAAGCCTAAATTAATTTGACTTAAGACAAAAACATCCGATTTGACAGGGCCATTCTCCGTCTAATTAGCCTATTACTCCCACGTATTTTATTCGTTATTTTACATGAACGCAAAAAGAAAACTTCCTGAATCTCCTCACTATGGCAAACTCCTTGACTGAGACTTGTATGCATAATTCTTGGTTATTCAGAATGTGAATGGGGACCCCATGCAACGTCACTTCACAACAATAAAACCAAGGTGTTAACATGCTTGGAGCGTTTTACGCACCTTGTGGAATATTGCATTAGATTTACGCACGTTAGTTAAACACCTTCAGCCAAGACCCGAGTTTATATCAATTCGCTAGTTCACAATCATTTGTCATTACAACAAAATGCCAGTCAATACTTTTTCTCAGATTGGTAATAACAGCGAAATGTGAACATTAAATATTGTAAACTCCAAACATTAAATCAGATTCTTCTTTACTTCAATAATTTAAACACCCTTACATGATAATTTATGAAATTAACAACAATAGTCAAGCATGTGGACATTTACAGACAAGCCTAATTTTGTGGTGCACCACTTTTGAGATAAGATGTGATAAAAGCCTGTACAAAACTTTAACTTCACCAACAACTTACAGACCTAAAACACAGCCTAACTATTGATGAATACACTCAAACTTAAATATATAAGTTATGGATGTTAGGGGTTTCCAAAGTTTAAAATAACACAGAGAAAATGACAGTAAGGGCACTAATGACATCTCTATTTTCAAGTTGTCTCTTTATCTTGATTGAGGGTCTGGTGTATCCCTGGGTAATGAGATGACCAACATGGTTGATGATGGATTAAGTCCACTCACACACTAATCTAATGTTTCCTCATAGCATCTGGCCCATGAGCAAGTGGCCCAATTACACCTGACTGTATCGTAGTCAATAAAATGCTTATCAGGTTTGGCATGTAGTCATGGTTAACAGTAAATACCATACCGTTTTGAGGTCCTCCTGGACTGAAGTGGAACACACCATAGTTATGAGGATTAACACAAGTGCAGTAGGTAGGTCCTCATGTGGAGTGTATCAGGAATAAACTGGAATAGTTCACCGTGAGGAGAGAGAGGGGGGATCTTGTTTATTTCCTGTCCCCAACCTTTAGTACTGTTGAGATGAACTGTTCCTGTGGGACCTCTGTCCAGGTTTCTCCCTTTAGAGGTGAGGGGAAACAAAGGACAAGTTGGACAGGCTTTATTGAGTAAGGTACGCATCAGAAGAATGCATTCATACACACGCACACACTTATGCACAGACACACACATTGCTGACCTATGAAGACTAGGCGGTTGACCCTAGGCTCCTCCCCCCACACCTGTGGGGTCTCATCCAGCTTGTAGAGTTAATGGACCCCCTGCAACATCACCTGGGGGGCTTTACCTGCAATAGACACGATCCCCTGGGATAGCACACACACACACACACACACACACACACACACACACACACACACACACACACACACACACACACACACACACACACACACACACACACACACACACTTTGTTCAGAGACTGAGACATACATACCTCCAGTCCCTCGACTTCTTGGCGCTGACGGAAACATGGATTACCACTGAAAACACTGCTACTCCTACTGCTCTATCCTCGTCTGACCATGTGTTCTCGCATACCCCGAGAGCATCTGGTCAGCGGGGTGGTGGCACAGGAATCCTCATCTCTCCCAAGTGGACATTCTCTCTTTTTCCCCTGACCCATCTGTCTATCTCCTCATTTGAATTCCATGCTGTCACAGTCACTAGCCCATTCAAGCTTAACATCCTTGTCATTTATCGCCCTTCAGGTTCCCTTGGAGAGTTCTTCAATGAGCTTGATGCCTTGATAAGTTCCTTTCCTGAGGATGGCTCACCCCTCACAGTTCTGGGTGACTTCAACCTCCCTACGTCTACCTTTGACTCATTTCTCTCTGCCTCCTTCTTTCCACTCCTCTCCTCTTTTGACCTCACCCTCTCACTGTCCCCCCCTACTCACAAGGCAGGCAATACGCTTGACCTCATCTTTACTAGATGCTGTTCTTCTACTAATCTCACTGCAACTCCCCTCCATGTCTCCGACCACTACTTTGTATCCTTTTCTCTCTCGCTCTCCTCCATCACTACTCACTCTGCCCCTACTCAGATGGTAATGCGCTGTCGCAACCTTCGCTCTCTCTCTCCCGCTACTCTCTCCTCTTCCATCCTATCATCTCTTCCCTCTGCTCAATCCTTCTCCCTCCAATCTCCTGATTCTGCCTCCTCAACCCTCCTCTCCTCCCTTTCTGCATCCTTTGACTCTCTATGTCCCCTATCCTCCCGGCCGGCTCGGTCCTCCCCTCCTGCTCCGTGGCTTGACGACTCATTGCGAGCTCACAGAACAGGGCTCCGGGCAGCCGAGCGGAAATGGAGGAAAACTAGACTCCCTGCGGACCTGGCATCTTTTCACTCCCTCCTCTCTACATTTTCTTCATCTGTTTCTGCTGCTAAAGCCACTTTCTACCACTCTAAATTCCAAGCATCTGCCTCTAACCCATGGAAGCTCTTTGCCACCTTCTCCTCCCTGCTGAATCCTCCTCCCCCTCCCCCCCCCCTCCTCCCTCTCTGTGGATGACTTCGTCAACCATTTTGAAAAGAAGGTTGACGACATCCGATCCTCGTTTGTTAAGTCAAATGACACTGCTGGTCCTGCTCACACTGCACTACCCTATGCTTTGACTTCTTTCTCCCCTCTCTCTCCAGATGAAATCTTGCGACTTGTGACGGCCGGCCGCCCAACCATCTGCCCGCTTGACCCTATCCCCTCCTCTCTTCTCCAGACCATCCCCGGTGACCTTCTCCCTTACCTCACCTCGCTCATCAACTCATCCTTGACCGCTGGCTATGTCCCTTCCGTCTTCAAGAGAGCGAGAGTTGCACCCCTTCTCAAAAAACCAACACTCGATCCCTCTGATGTCAACAACTACAGACCAGTATCCCTTCTTTCTTTTCTCTCCAAAACTCTTGAGCGTGCCGTCTCTAGCCAACTCTCTTGCTATCTCTCTCAGAATGACCTTCTTGATCCAAACCAGTAAGGTTTCAAGACTGGTCAATCAACTGAGACTGCTCTTCTCTGTGTCACGGAGGCTCTCCGCACTGCTAAAGCTAACTCTCTCTCCTCTGCTCTTGTCCTTCTAGACCTGTCTGCTGCCTTTGATACTGTGAACCATCAGATCCTCCTCTCCACCCTCTCCGAGTTGGGCATCTCCGTAGCGGCTCACTCTTGGATTGCATCCTACCTGACCGGTTGCTCCTACCAAGTGGCGTGGCGAGAATCTGTCTCCGCACCACGTGCTCTCAGTTCTAGGCCCTCTCCTATTCTCGCTATACACCAAGTCACTTGGCTCTGTCATATCCTCACATGGTCTCTCCTATCATTGCTACGCAGACGACACACAACGAATCTTCTCCTTTCCCCCTTCTGATAACCAGGTGGCGAATCGCATCGCAATCGCATGTCTGGCAGACATATCAGTGTGGATGATGGATCACCACCTCAAGCTGAACTTCGGCAAGACAGAGCTGCTCTTCCTCCCGGGGAAGGACTGCCCATTCCATGATCTCGCCATCACGGTTGACAACTCCGTTGTGTCCTCCTCCCAGAGTGCGAAGAGCCTTGGCGTGACCCTGGACAACACCCTGTCGTTCTCCACTAACATCAAGGCGGTGACCCGATCCTGTAGGTTCATGCTCTACAACATTCGGAGAGTACGACCCTGCCTTACACAGGAAGCGGCACAGGTCCTAATCCAGGCACTTGTCATCTCCCGTCTGGATTACTGC